ACTAAACATTCAAACATATGGGCCAATGGGAGCCATTCTTATTCAAATCACTACATCAGCCATTTACCAAAGGTCACTGACATGATAATGGAATACAAGCTACCTTGTCCAGGAACAAACTATCTCTTAGGTGGACATTTTCTTATAGTAGCCAGTATGTCCAGGAGACACAAATATAATTTATCTGTTGAGCCTGGTTAAGAAACCCAACGCCCATTTGGTCATATACCCCACTTATCTCCCTATACAATATCCAATGTATCTCACTATAGCAGTCACCAAAGCATCACTTCAGAGTCTTGCCATTCTACAGCACTCAGTTTAAGGTCTAACACTGTAATATGTAACCGGAGTTTCTTGTCCCACCAGGTCCTGTCACCTTTCAGCCCCAAATAAACACATAGATGCTTTCTTAATTATAAAATTGTTGGATGATGGCTAGGGATTCTTATTGGCTAGCTCTGTCTTAATTAACCCATTTCTGTAAATCTATGTATTTCCACATGGTCTTGGCTTACCGGAGAATGCTCGAAGATGTTACTCCTTTGGTGGCTACATTGAGATTTCTTCTCAGTCTTTCTCTGCCTACCTTTTCCCAGAATTCTCCTTGTCTCCTAGTCCTGCATATCTTCCTGCCTCTACTGGCCAAACAGTGTTTTATTCATCAACAAATAAGAGAAATATATATACAGAAGAACATTCCCTATCAGTAATATGTAAGTTTCCTTTCTGGGGGTGAGCGTGCGGGGATTAATAGAGAGTACATTAATGGGAAACTCAGCATCTGTATGGAGGATCAGTAGAATTACTGGAAACAGAAACAGCAGGATGGATCTGGGAAGCCAGAAACAGCCACATAACTGTTTGCTCACATTGCTTCCTGGCTTTTGTCCCTTTCCCCCAACCACTGTTTTGCACTCTTTAAAAGCATAAGCATCTAGTCCCATGACTTTATTTGCTTGCCCTTTGGAACCTGAATCTCACCAGAAACTTCAGTGACAGGACTAGGTTGAAGGAGGGCAAGGTAAGCATACAGAGATTTTTTAAGCCTAATGACTCAGCTGAATTCACTGAGAACCCAGGTGCCTAAAGGAATAGGGAGTTCCAACTGATGATGTTTGTTCTTAATATAATCCAACCTGATACTAACGTTCTTGTTTCTCTTTTGCCAAGTGAACACAGATTAATGGCTTATCTCTTACCTTCTAACATGGGGTGTAGAATGCTTTGCACTGCTTACCTGCCCTTGCCCATGTCTTCCATCACAGTCAGAAGACCTTCCTGTTCTTAGATTCAACAAATTCTGGTAAATGGCACTAGATAATCCTTATGTATTTCCATGTATCTAATTTCATTGTGCACTTCAATTCTAGGACTATCTGGGATAATGTTCCTCTCTCTTCTACTCGGCTTTTTACTCAAATGTTATCTCTTCAGCACGTTCTTCCCAAATGCCAATAAATAGAGAAACATTCCCATGCTACCCTTTGTTTTCTTCATAGCACTTGTCACTGTCAGCCTTTCTGTATTTATTATCTTTCTGGGACAAACTATAATTTCTGGCTCACCACTGTTTCCTGCAGGCCTACAGTCCTGCTCTAGTCATAGTGAATGCTCAATAAATATTTGTTCAATGAATAGAGGATGAACAAATCCAATTTCCACTAGCCACAGGCTTATTTATTAGAACTGTAGCGATTCTGTTTTCACAGGGAGGCACATAATGTGAGCTGTGTGTTCCTTCGAACATGATATGAGCTCAATAATTAACAGAGTAAAAAGGAAGTGGTTATGAGGAGAGAGTCTTGGCTTGATGATTTTTCTCAGTGTGAGGCCATCATGAACACCAATTCCAGGAGGATAGAATATCAAAATAAGGACCATTTAAAAAGCACTAAAGCATTTTTTCTATTCCAAATGAACAATTGAAGTTTTTAAATTATATTTAAATTTCTTTAATTATAGAGAAACTGTGTGAAAAAGAAAGATTGTGTTCATGATCCACAATAGAGAAAGGATGTGATTTTTGTGTTTATGGAAAGGTCAGCATGGATTACAAATAATGGTTGCAGGCAACTCTGGATCGGGCAGTTCCTAAGGGCACTTTTCACTAGAAAATTCTAAGCCCGCACACACATCCCATGACATGTGATCTTGCTGTCCAATGTCCAACATCTCTTTCCAAAGGAGTGTCTCTCACGAAAGAAAATGCTGTTCAACTTGTTTTCCCCATCATAAAAAAACCATGGAAATTACCAAACCACAACCTAGCTACAGTCAAAGCAGTCTTGAATAAGCATTGATGAGAAAAGAGTACCAGGAAACAAAGGCAAATGTTCCCTCTCCCTCCTTCTTCCATGCTCATCACATTCTATTTTTCAAGACAATGGCACTCATCCAGTGGGTGTTTAATTTATGCAAATCCACAGTAACTCTTAAGGTGTAACTGACACAGCAAGGGGCCACAGAAGGCAACCACTGATGTTCTCTTTAAAATTCTGTTTCCATGGCTGTGGATATGTAAAGTACCTCCTATGTAATCTGTATCCATGAGTGGCCTCACCAGTGACCAGGTGAGGAGGACCAGAGCTGGCAGGCTTTCACCTTTAAAGAACACTATCTTAGGAGCTGTAGAAATTGGTAAAAGCAGGAAAAGCACTGGCTCCTCTTCCAGACCACCAATGGTTCAGTTCCCAGCACCCACATGACAGCTCACAACAGTCCCTAAGTCCAGTTCCTGGGGATCTGTCTAACATCCTCTCCTGGCCTCTGAAGCCAGTGAATGACCATGATGCACAATCATATATGCAGGCAAAAAACGTAAGCATAAATAAAAATGAATAAATACAAAGATATTTTAGTCACTGCTTCAAAATACACAAATAATTTCCACTCACTGAGAGGAAAAGGGAGGAATAAGCTATCAGCAGGTCAAGTCATTCAAATTACCAAAACTCAAGTTACTACAGAGCTGTTCCTATGCCAGACTATTCTCCAAGCATATGCATATACACATACTTTTTGAAACTAATGTACTTTCTTCACTTAGTGTAAAGATACTTCCTTGTGAAGACATAGAAATCTACATTATTAATACATGGTTTCAATTTTGTCATTATATATACATAGATACTGGCTCTTTGTTGCTGAAGTAAAACACTGACCAAAAGAATTTGGGAAGGGAAGAATTTATTACATTGTACAGGGAAGGGTTCATCATCTAGGGCAGTCGGAGCAGGTCAAGTGCCTACAGGAATCTGGAGGTAGGAACTGAAGCTGAGACCATGGAACAAAGTTACTTACTGGCTTGCTTTCAGGCTCACATTCAGCTACTGTTTTTATACCTGCCCAGGGGTGACACTAACAGCAGTGTACTAGGTCTTCCCACATCAACAATCAACAAAATGCCACACAGACTTGCCTACAGGCCAAATTGACAGAGGCATTGCCTCAATTGAGGATCTGTCCTCCAGGTCTGTATCAAGTTAACAAAAGCTAATCAGCAAACTAGAATGAACACTTGTAGCCAAATATGTACCTATTTATTTGGGATAATTATGGAAAAGTGTGGCTGATGGCCCAAAAGCTATGTAATGTACATTTTAAGATTCACATTACTAGCAGGTGTGGTGGCACACATCCTCTAGTTCTTTCAGTCTAGTTTTTGGGAGGCAGAGGCATGTGGTTCTCTGTGAGTTCAAGATAAGCTTCATCTACATAAAAAGTCCCAAGACAGCCAGGACTACATAGGGAGACCCTGTCTCAAAAATAAATAGATAGATAGACAGATGATAGATAGACAGACAGACAGACAGACAGATAGATAGATAGATAGAACAAAATATTTACATTATCTTTTCTGTCACAGCAGTTACTGTCATCACATGTGATAATAATAATCGCAATTTTATAAGCAATGAACACTGCTGAGATCTTATTATATGCCACACCTGTTTCAAATAATTCATTCATCTATATCTCACTGAAAATATCCACTGGACCTTTGGCAATTTCTTTAACTGAACACTCTTCATGAGTTAGGTATCTGGAGATGGGTTCAGATCCCAGGGCCCTGGGAATTTAGAGAAAGCTTTACACTATTCCCTCAACAAGGATGGGTTACCATACATGGGAAACTAGAACCCACTTTCATCCGTTGACAATTCATTCTGGGAATTGTTTGTTAGTGATAGATTTGAACTTTCTATTCTTCAGACAAGTATACCTCTGTTCATTTCTCATTAAACAGAGAGAACCTAGACTGTACTATTTTACTTCTGGGCTATCGAGTGCTATAGACAAGCATAAAAACATTGTATGGGACAGAAGTTATGGGGTTATTCATGAAGAAGACAGAGTAATATAACCTCTGCCTTTGGGATTGAGTGAATATTTGAGACTATGTCTTGGAAAGATACATCTTTGCGATGTGATTTCCTAAGCCATGGAAAGAAATCCACACAGATGTCTAGGTTGGAGCTGTGGTCAGGAATGGAGTTCTTTAGCTGTTGACTGTTCCCTATCCAGTTATTTGTGTCTAAAGGCTTGTGTTTAAGTCTTTCCTTCACTTCACAAAATTGTACAATATAAACCCCTTTCCCTAGTGAACTGTGACTGTGAGAAAAGTAGCTCAAAGGCCTGGGCTTTCCTTAATTATCCTTCTTGCTTTTAACTTATATAAATGTCTGTGGTGGCTCTTTTATGTAAAATATAATCAAATTATTATATACAGTTTCTAGTAAATGTTAAAATAACATGAAAACCAAAATATTTTATTCATAATGTGATAGGTACTATGACATCCATTTCAATGATGGGAAAATTGAGGTAGAGATATACTAAGTATCCAGTTCAAGTTATGTAAGTAGCTAATGTCAGAGTTCAAAATAGAACTGAGAAAGGCAGTAGTCTTCAATGTCAATCTCTTTTTTTGCAAATTTGACAAAGTAAATACCCTTCAGCTTTATGCTCTAGTCCATAGCCTGAATTATAGTTATTACCGAATATTTTCCTGATGTGTTTTCTCTCATACATCCCTTCTTTTTCATACTTCAAAGCCAGTAACTTAGCCATCAATTTCCTGGCCTGAAAAGACAAAATACCAAGCAGAAAACTTTTACTTTTCAGGTAATTTGGGGGAGAATATGCTCAAAGTACATTACATAATTGTGAGGCATGATCTTGTGAAACCTCCCCAAAATAAAGCAATCTAGCAGGAAGGAAAAAAGAAAGAGAAAGAAATGGAGGGAGAGAGAGAGAGAGAGAGAGAGAGAGAGAGAGAGAGAGAGAGAGAGAGAGAGAGAGAGAGAGAGAGAGAGAGAAGAAAGATCTTAAAAGTCTTCTAATGGCCAGGAACTGCCTCAACTTTAGCATCAGTTCCAAGTACTGGTGAACTTTCTGGTTAAATACCATTCTTATTTAGAGAGGCATTGCATATTTCTTCCAAAGTTTCCCATGGTACAAAGTCTCACCTGGACATCTCAGCTAGGCTTTCTGTTTTTAGTAATTTATTTTTATTTTATGTTCACTGGTATTTTACCTGAATGTATGTCTATGTGAGGGTGACAGAAGTCCTGGAACTGGAATTATAGACAGGTGTGAGCTGCCATGTGGGTGCTGGGAATTGAACGCCAGTCCTCTAAACTGCTTAGCCATCTCTCCAACCCTTGAGTTTACTTTACTTTTAAGTACACGTACATGGGGGTGCAGATGTACATGGGCGCATATGCCTGTGGGGGCCAGAGGTGTTAGAGTCCCTGCAATTGGCATTACAGCTGGTTGTGAGTGACCATGTGAGTGTTGGAAATTGATTCCAGGTCCTCTGGAAGAATAAACTACGAGTGCAAGTGCTGCTAACAGCTGAGCTGCATCGCCAGCCCCACCCTCGGTTTTTCAATTGCAAATATTTTCAAGCAAGTGTCGCTGGGAATTTACAAGTATCGACGGACTGTGTTGAAAGAGTAATGACTATCTATGAGTACTATTGTCCATTCCTATTTGACCACCAGGAAAGCAGCTTGATATTCAATTCTAAAAGAAAAAAAAGTAGCACTAAACACGCTTGAATTGAATTTGCTTGTTACTTTCACAAGTAAAAAGCCACATGATGTTACTATGTACCTTACCTTCCTAACACTATTCACTTAATTGATAAGTAGAAGTTGATAAAATTATATAGGATCCACTAGCATTTTGTAAGATGACATGACAAAATGAGTGCAAAACACTTAGAATATAAGGTAGTGTAACTGGGGATCGACTATTAAGTATTTGTCAAGAATACAAGCTTTAGATTCACAACGTCTAGATTCAAATCTTAAACCTGACTGTTTTAGTTGTATGGTCTGGGGAAATTTATTTCTCTATGATTTAATTTCTTCATGTACAGTGTGAGGTGTCTATGGCATCCAGTATGTATAGCAATTCAATGAGTTAATTTATGTAATGTACTTAGAAGGTTACACACCGCAAATCATTTACATTACCTCAAATTCTGTTTCTTTTAAAATAAGAAAAACAATAACTCCATTAGAGGCATATTTTTTAGTTTAGAAAAGACATGCTATGTGGTAATGCAATAAATATTAGTGTCCTTCCTTTCTTCTGCTTCTTAGAGAAACCAGGATATTGAAGAATTCACTACTGAATTGACTAAAGTCTAAGATGGCAATAAACATGAACAGTGTCACTTTCCTAAGCATGAAGTTAATGTCATGCGATATCTGGCTTCAATTATAGAAGCTGGCAATGAAATTTGATCATGCTAAATGCCAGAATTGGGAGGGCTTCTAGTAACAGATCATCTAGTCCAAGCTGTATGCTTGCTAGAGAATGCTACAACATTCACAGGCCATTTTGAAGACTCTGGCTTAATAAAAATGATTAGGCAAGGAAATAGCTGGCAAGGTGGATGGCAGACATCTGGGGGACAGTCAGTGAGAAATTCCAGGAGTGATTCATTGTCTTCACTCCAGCAAAAGTGCCTTACAATGCTTGACAACTTAATTGATGTTCATATATTTATACAGAATTAGGCAAAGGTTACTGTCAAAGAATCACTAGAGCGACAGGTGTTGTTGATCTTCAGACTTCTAAATATATTAGCCAACAAGGAATGGTTGCAGCATGGAAAGCTAGTCTGTATATCTAGAGGTTTCTGTGTGCACTTCGATATTTTTTTTGTTTCTTCCGAGACAGGGTTTCTCTGTATTATTTTGGATCCTGTCCTGGAACTCGCTACCAGGCTGGTATCCAACTCACAGAGATCCACCTGCCTCTGCCTCCCAAGTGCTGGGATTAAAGGTGTACGCCACCAACGCCCAACTGTGCACTTCGATTTTAAGGATGAAGTTTTAAGCGGTGCATTAAATTTTGAGCCTTCTTTCCTCATAATGAAACTATCTCAAAACTTGACTTGCTAGTGTTCCATGAGAACTGACAGACAAATGTCTTCATTTATTAAGGTTCTGAATTGAGGAAAAAATTATTAGATAGTGAAGAAAATGATAGGCTTGCTTGGTAAATAAATATAATTAATTTGATACCTTGTATTCCATAGTTGATTATGTCAACGATGATAAATTTATGGATTGAATTCTGTCATTTTTTTCAAAATTCACAGAAGCATCAAGGATGAGATTGGTATCTACCAAAGGAAGTAACATTGAGAGGCAGTAGAGCCTAATGGTTAGAGCACAGACATTTTCCCCCTAGTCAATGTAAAAAGCCTGGTAGAAGTAATTCACCACTCCATAACACATACACACACACACACACACACACACACACACACACACACACACACACACACCACAAATTTAAAGAATATATGTATATATAATATATGTGAAAGTTTGAAAACAAGAAAGAACATATTAAGGGACTAGAAACAAAGAAAGTACGAAAAACTGTACTTACCACTTGGAAACTGCTACCTAGCTCAAAGAATGAGTCACATACATTTTTTTTCCGAGACAGGGTTTCTCTGTGTAACAGTTCTGGATGCCCTGGAACTCACTTTGTAGACCAGGTTGTCCTGGAACTCACTGAGATTCATCTTCCTCTCCTTCCCAAGTGCTGGAATTAAAGTGTGTGCCACCACTGCCTGGCCAGATAAAGTTTTTAAGGTTAAAAAAAAGATAGACATCAAAGTTTCAAGTTTTCAATGTGATAGAGTTAGAGATGTCATACTTGCCAAAGAACAGCAATTATATGATCTTTGCTCCAACTCAAAAATGGAAATGAGGGCTAGAGAGATGTTTCCACAGCTACGCACATGTGATCTTTCAGAGGACCAGGGCTTGATTCCCAGCACAAACATCGTAGCCTACAACCATCTGTAACTCAAGTTTCAGGGTATCTGATGTTCTCTCTTGACATTTGTGGACATGAGACACACATGTGAGCACATGCATACATGCAAGCAAAGGACTCATACACACAATGAAATCAACCTGGAAAACTGATGCACTTAGACAATGGGATGTGAAACTAAAAGAAAATACAAATCATGGTCGTCAGAAAACAAAAAAATAATGCATGAATAGTCTGAATTAATTTAAATGGATTTAAACTTTTGCTAATTTCTGAATGGATACGGAGGGAAAGTAGAATCAGGATAGATGAGAAGTGGAGACTGGGAGGAGGGGAGGCAGGGGAAACTATGGTTGATATGTAAAATAAATTAAAATGCTATTTAAATAATATAAAATGATAAAACTTAAGGAAACTTTTGCTAAGCGTGTAGGTCAATAATAAAGCACTTATCCGGCATGTACAGGACCAAAGGTTCAATCCCCAGCATGACAACTTAATAAATATATAAATATGTTTGAACATAGATGTACTAAGATTACAAATGAAAAATTCCACTGTCTGTTGTCTAAAAGAAGCATATATAATAAATACATCATGACAACAATAAAGGAAACAGAGGGTAGGGGCTATGGAGTGCCTCAGTAGCAGACTATTTGTGAAGTATCTACAAGGCCCTCACTTTAGTTCCCATCACCATGAAACACAGGTGGAGATAAAAAAAGTACATAACTGGAGAAATGGAATTTAATATTAAAAAGGATTAATAAAAAGAAACATGGGGGCAGGAGAGGGCTAGAGAGATGGCTCAGCAGTTAAGAGCACTGGCTACTCTTCCAGAGGTCCTAGATTTTAATTCCCAGAAAACACATGGTGACTCACAACCATCTGTAATGAGATCTGGTGACGTCTTCTGGCCTGCAGGGATGCATGCATGCAGAACACTGTATGCATAACAAGTAAATCTTTTTAAAAAACTATCACCCCTGCCATTTGCAGTGGTACACACTTCTAATCCCAGTATTGAGCAGAGGCAGGCCCATCTCTGTAAGTTTGACACCAACCTCAAATATACTAAGTTCCAAGCTATTCAGTGTCACAGAGGGAGACGAAAGAGAGTCAAGGACAAAGAGAGACAGAGACAGAAAGACAGAGAAACAGAGATATTCACTAAGAAAATTAAATTACACATTTTTTTCAATGTTCAGTTTCCTTTAATGACCCCCATCTCCCTTGCAGGGTAGGTGCAGGCAGCTAGGCGATGGCAAGACATGTTCACTTGAAGATCTTGCCTTGATTGACGGCTTTGCCCACATGCTGGAAGGCCCCCTCCCAGGAAAAGTACTCTTGAACCAGGGTCTGGGTCTCCTCGCTACCAGGATCCAGTTTCCGCCATGTATACGACTCGTAGTCCACCTGCCAATCTGGACTCAGCGGAAAAGCAAGCTCTTGGCCTCGGAAGACCCAAACGCCAGAAATGGAGCTACTGTTGTTGGTTCCAAAGAGGATGACACTAGCAAAGGCATTCTTCCTCAGTTTGTCCAATCGCTGGAACATTCCAGTGATGAGGTTGCAACTCATGAAGGTCTGGGTGAGCTCTTCAGGGAAGCGGTACTCAGCATACCACAGGGACCAGCCATCCTTATCAAAGTGCTCCCAAAAATATGGCAGTGCCACAGACAGCGTGTCCTCATTGGAGTACTTTCGCTTAAACTCATCCAACACAAAGGTACTCTTGGGCAGGTGAGCAAAGGGGTCCTTGGCCTCGGGCACCCTTTTCTTTCCTTGGAGTATCTTTTTTAGGCTGGCTTTCTGCAAACTTCTTAGCATCAAATTGGGCCATCTTCTCACACAGCTTCACCTCCCCCAAGACTGCCCTGAACTGGGGCTGGTTAATGCAGGTAAGGAACCATCGGTTGGTATTGGGGAAGGTCTGGCGAAAAGAAGGCTCTAAAACCTGTTTGTAGAGCCACAGAAGGGTGCAGACAACTGTGATGTCAGCCAGCGTCACTCGCTCACCCACCAAAAAAGTCCTTGTCTTCAAGTGAGTGTCCAGCAGCCCCAGGATTCGCCTCACCTCCTCTTTTGCATTTTCAGTGGCCTGTTTGTTGTGGTGCATGATGCCCAGGGTGGGGAACACCCAGGTGCTGGCTGGGGGGACGATGTCACTGTCGGCAAAGCTCACCCACTGCACCACCTGAGCTGCTGCCTCTGGAGTACTTCCCCGCAGGTCCTCATTGCTTACGTAATAGGCAATGGCATTGCTCTCAAGCACACAGAATCCGTCATCACCCTCAAATGCTGGAACCTTGCCAGCAGGAAATTTTCTGAGAAACTCAGGGGTGCAGTTGGTTTGGCCGAAGTGGAAGTGGGGTAGCGCGGAGAGTACGCGGACCTGAGCCCCACTGTACTGAGCAGCGATGAGGGCCTTGAAGGCTCTCCAGTTTTCAGGGTATGTGTACAGGGTCCCAGCCGCCATGGTGATTCCGCAGAGAAAGGGGGTCTAAATTACACATTTTTACTCTGAAATTTGAGTGTGTGTGTGTGTGTGTGTGTGTGTGTGTGTATAAATTTGTGTGTGCACACGTATCCATGAAGGTCAATGACCAGTGTTGGATATCTTCCTCAATTATACTCCACTTTATTGTTGGAGACATTGAACCTTCAGGTTATTGAGTTGGCTAGACTGACTAGCCAGAAAGTTCCAATCTAGCTCTGTCCACTCTTCTCACCTCCAACACTGGAGTTACATGCAGATGCTATGACACCTGGCTTTTTTCGTGGATGTCAGTGTCTCAACTCAGGTCTTTAGATATTTTACTAACTGAGCCACCTTATCAGCCAAAACCGAAAGGTTTTTTTGTGGGGGGAGGGGTTGGGTATGTCAGGTTGTTTGTTTTGAGACAGAGTTTCCCTGTATAGCCCTGGTTATCCTGAAATTCACTCTGTAGACCTCATTGGCCTCAAACTCACAGAAATCCACCTGTCTCTGCCTCCTGGGTGCTCGGATTAAAGGTGTGTGCCACCACCACCTGGCCAAACTGAAAGTTTTTTTTAATTTTATTTATTTTATTCGTTTTACATACTAACCACAGCTCTCCCTCCCTCCACCCCCTACCTCTCCCCAACCCACTCCCATCCACTCCTCAGAAAGTATAAGGTCTGTCACGGGGAGTCAACAAAGCTTGCCACATTCAGTTGTGACAGGACCAAGCCCCCCCCCATCAAGGTTGGGCAAGGCATTCCACAAGGAGGACCCTAAGAGAGACCCAAGGATCACCCTGGAAAGGGGAAATAGATGAGACCTCCTGGGTAAACTGTGGGCGTGGGGAGCAGTAAAGGGGAGAGAATGAGGGAGGAGAACATGAAGGAATGGGATGGTCAAATTGGGGGAAGGATGGGATGGGAGAGAAAAGATATATCTATATAGAGGGAGCCATTAAGAGGTTAGGAAGAAACCTGATGCTAAGGAATTTCCTAGGAATCCAGAAGGATGACCCTAGCTAAGACCCCTAGCAATAGTGGAGAGGGTGCCTGAACTGGCCTTTCCCTGTAATCAGGTTGGTGAATAACTTAACTGTCATCACAGAAACTTCATTCAGTAACTAATGGCAACAGATGCAGAGACCCATATCCAAACTGAAAAGTTTTCAAAGCATGACTCCAAAACTTGCCAAGTTAAAGCTAGTAGAAGTAAAGTGAGAAATAATCAAATCTGTAATCTCAGTGAGAGATTTGAGCACACCTCTTTCAGGAACTGATAAAGTAGATAAAATTACTAGGGATAGAAAAGCTGTAGCCAAAACAATAAAATAACAAGTTAATAAATACATTAAAATGGCCAATCTGAAAGAAGATTAATATTTTTATGTCATTCTGGGAAAAGCAAAACTTTGAAGACAGTAAAAAAAATAGCAGATGTCCACAGATTTAGGAGAGGGAGGGAGGGAGGAGCACACAATGCAGAGGGGATTTTAGACCACTAAAGCTATTCTGTATGATAATATGGCTGTATATACTTGTCATTATACATTTTCCAACACCTATAAAGAGCAAGTTTGAACCTTAATGTAGGCTTCGTGTAGTTATGTGTCAGTATTGTTCCATTTGACAACTGTAGCACCATTATGGTGATGTCAAGGAAGTGATGTGTGGAAACTCTCCAAACTTACAGACAACCTCTCTGTGAACCTAAAACTAAAAACATTCAAACGATTTTTTAAAGCACACACATTGAACACACCAACTAAAGAATCAATACTCCTAAGCACATGTGAAAAATATTGACCTACTTGCCAATGATATGACTGACTCATTTGCTTACCCAGATATTAATTCTGAACATGGGAAAATAATTGATGTAGTATTTAAAATGCAATATCTGAAGATACAGTATAATCAAAAATTTATTATATTTCCATAGATTGAGAATTACCAAACAAGCAATAAATCAATCTCTAGTTTATAGATAACATTTACATATTTCTGGGATTTGACTATTCTCACTACAGCCAATTTTGAGTTGCCAAAATTATTTTTACTGGGAAAAGATGCACAGTAGATCCTTGTTATAAAACAGTCCCTTCATTCCAATACAATAGATATGAATAATCTCAAAAACTTAAACAGTAAGAAAACATAAGAAAGTGATATTGAATGATGGGTTTGGAGTGCTTATTGTGTTTGTTTTTAAATATACTTTATGTACTTACAGTTTTGCATTATTTAGTTTTTAATAATTGATATTTTACCAACCATATGGGAAAACTTGAATTTATAACAACAGACACTGACAGCATCTGGCTCAAAATAATAAAGACAAATGGAAAAGCTAATAAAAACATCTGGGCATGGCAATGCCTGCCTGTATTTCCAGCAGCTTGGGAAACCAAGACAGGAGAATTGCAAGTTGTAGGTCAGGCTGGACAGCATAGTAAAATCTCATTTGAAGAAAATGATACGACATAAAACAGACATATATTAAAGATTATAAATAAAACTAAAAGCCAGCTATCTGAAAAAGTTAGTACAATATATAAGTATGTTGCAAGACCAATGGGAAATAAGGAAAATGCACAAACAGTATAACAAATATAGAATGGCACAAATGCACACATATAAAGCAGGACTTTTAAGTCATTGTATCAATGTATACCAAGCATGACAGATCTTGCAAGTAATTGCACTACCTGGGAGACAGAGGCAGTAGAGCTGTCATGAGTCTAAAAACAGGCTAAACTACACAGTAAGTTTCAGAAATTTAAATTTGTATATAAGATACAAATATAGCCAAGAAAATTGTATAATGCCAAAGTGTTTAAAGATAGTTCAGTCTACAGTGTGACACTTTGTTTCAAAGAACTAAAATATGATATATGACAATAATATAGTCTCGTGGTTAGAGAGATAAATACAAATATATTAATAATAATTAGATAAATTGAATTTGTAGTCAAAAATTTGCCTCTTAGCTGTGGATGAAATATTTCCAACCACCTGAAGTCCCTGCCACTTTCTTACTGTTATGTCTGTATCCTCAAATAGTACATCTCTCTCCTAGAGTAAATCTTTTCTCCCTTAAAGAGATATTACTGCACAAACAGGACATACCCAGGTATGTTTTTGCAGGTAACTTATACCAAACGCGCAAGAATCAGACAGTGACATCTTTTTCATTTTGTGAAGGAGAAAAAAAGATGAGAAATGTATCCAGTTTTATCATCTGATTTCATGTCAATGGTTAAAACTGATAGAAACCGAATAAGAAAAATACAGTTTGATCTCGGTTACAGAAATGAGAAACACAATCTTAATGATTTTAGCAAGCCCATCAATGTAAACACACAAAAATCATTATTTACTGTATCCAGGATGCAATAGTCCCTCAAACTTAGAAACTCTATGACTTTCTTCCATCTATATATAATATTTACTCTAAGTCTATTTTAATTCTCTTGCTTATGCTGTCTGTCATAATACACCATGAAAAAAAAGTCACCTGTATATTTCAGGACATTACAGAGATGCATTGCATTGTTGACAAGCTGATTAGACAGGATGGACAAAGAGGTGGCATAATATGCTTTAGGACTTGGCAAGACACACATGAATTGCATGAGAGGATAAGACAATCTCACAAAGACTAGAGACCTGCCAGTGAGTCGTGGTTTTAAAGTATATCTTCCATATAAGAATACTTAGAGCACCTTGAATTCCTTCTCATAAAGAAAGAGGCATAATAGTCAGTGAACTTCTTCTGGTACTAGATACACACATTGTATAATGGCTCATACACCTGACAAGGAATGCATTCAAATCTGTGTGAAACTAGAAGTGAAATAGGCCTCTGTAGATCAAAGCTGTGATACAAGCTACTCTTCTTTGTGTGATTGGTGATCGGAAACAAAGCGAATATTAAGTAAATGACAAATTCTAGTAGGAGAACAACCACAGTACAGTTGTTTGAGGTTGTAAAATATTACGTTGCTATCTGAAGTGGAAAACTACATTTTGAGAAATATCTCATGATGTGTTGCCATCATTAGTTGGAAGATAACAGAGACAGAACACTCAACAAAGGGACATTATCTGAGAGCATACTTACAACTGCTTATTATGAGCTGAGTTCTGTCATTTACACCATGTCACATTAATACTCAGGCCCAGCGTAAGCCCATCCTGAGTTGGAAATCATTCTATGGGGTTGGGATAAAATAGACCAATGAATAATAGTAAGCTGCATATGCAGATTGACCAGAGATCCACTCCTCCAGGTCACCCAATAGGGTTGCTTTAAATTTTTTCTTTCAGCTTTCATCTAGGGTTAAGGTGTAGACTAGTTGTCATGTCTTATATGAGCAGAACATAATATGTAAACACATCTGTATTACTGAATAGCATAAAAAAGATATAAAATTTGAGAGAGAAACCATGACAGCTCTCTCCAGATACATACATAAGTACAAATCAATGTCCAACAAAGTTCCAATGGTATTTCTTGATACAAATTGACAAATTGATTCTTAAATTTGTGTAGAAGGACAGAGATCCCAAAATAGCCAAGAAAATTCTATAATACCCCAGAACAAATTTTCTACCAAGTAACATGGACTTTAATCAAACCATAATAACTAACACATTGTACTGGGTCAGGCATGGTAGTGGAAACCTTTCCTTCTAGCCCTCTGGAGGCTGGGGCAGGTGAATCTCTGTGAAATGCCAGGTCAGCCACTGTTACATGGTAAAACTGTATCTCAAAACAGCAAACAAACAAAAGTACCATTGGTTGGCACATTATAAGTCATTTAAATCAATAAAACACAAAATACAACCTAGTTATAAATTCATGAATGTATTGCAATTATATTCATAACACACAGATGGATTTCTAGACGATTTGAAAAAGAAGAGACTGACAGAATAAAAGTTATTCCTATCAGTTATTATTGGACTAACTAACTGTACCTCGGGAAAATTTGATCACTCCCCTGTGTAACA